GGAGAAGTGGTGCCTCGATGCGCACCCGGGATCCGAACCCGGGCCACCAGCATCGCAGCGCGCGCACTTAACCACCAAGCCACAGGGCCGGCCCTGAATAAGTTCATTCATTCATTCAACAAATATTTATTGGGTGCTGTTCCAAGGGTACCTGGGATTTGTTTTCATCAGGGATGCTAAGACATGCAAACCTGGAAATGACTGCTACAAAAGGAGAAGTTTGTTACGGTCACGATTCGCTAGAAACAGGACGCACAGCACACCCTGCAGGGACACATGGGGAAGCACTGGGCTTGATCAGGAGGCAGAGCGAGCAAGGAGAGAATGTGGGAAGAAGCCTTTATTGTGGTTTCCACAGGAAGGAATGGGTGAGGCAGGGTGAGCAGGCTTAGGATTGGCTAATTTGAATAATTTCAATGAGCTCTGAGGCATAGAGGCTGTCCCTAGTTGTCTGGTACCTGGCCCTAGGGTGATGAGGGCAGGTGGATAGTGGCCCGGGGTGTGAGAGCCCCATAAAGGAGGTGGTTGGGAGTGTGTGCTCTGGGCTGGGTAGTTTGCACATGAAAAGCACACTCCTGGGCCAGTTGTTGACTATCTAGGAACTGGCTAACCCTGGGAGGAGCAGTCCTTTCAGGATCAGCAAAGTCTAAGATGTCCAAGCATCAGATCACAGAAAATAGAGGACGTGGTTAAGACAAGGGCCTGCTATGTATCCAGACAGTCCTAGGACTGGGCTGTGAACAAAACAGACAAGGTCTGGGCATTTGCGGGGTTCATATCCCTCGGGGGAGACAGATGGAGCAAACAAACAAGCAAATACATATTTTGTAAATCTATCTTATCTTTTCAACAAATACTGTATGGCTGCCCTCTATATGCCAGACTCAGTTCTCAGCACTGATGCACACTGAACAAAACAGATAAAGTCCCTGTTCTGAGAGCACTCACGTTCTCGTGGAGAAAGACTGCGAAAAACGAGCAAACAAGAAAATTCAGTGACAAGAAGTAAAACAGGATCAAGTGATAAAAAAGGGACTGAGAGTTATTCCAGATCAGGTGGTCAGGGAAGGCTTCTCTGAGGAGGTGATATCTGAGCTGAGATCTGAGTGAGGAGAAGCAGCCAGCCACACAAAGACCTGGGGGAAGAGAATTCCATGCAGAGCTCGCCAAAAGCGCAGTGATCCTGGGGGTGGTGACAGGCTTTGCATGCGGAACTCAGAAGAGACCAGCGCATCTGGCTGCAGCGTAGTGAGTAAGGGAGTGGTTAGGAGGCAAGTGAGGTCAGAGATGGACAGGGCCACAATGATGAGTTTGGATTTTATTCTTAGTGTAAAGGGAAGCTGCCAGAATGTTCTAAGCAAGGAAATGGTTTAATCTGATCTGTTTTTTAAAGCTCCCTCTGGCTGCTATATGGAGATTGGATGGTAGGAGGCAAATGCAGAATTAGGGAGACGAGCTACGAGGTGATACCCAGGTAAGGGATGACATTGATCGGCTTGGGGTGTGGCCCTGGAGATGCACCGATGGGGAGGTAGATGGATGTGGGGGAATCCGTGAAGGTGAGACCCGACTGGCCATTAAAATCACTCACGGAGTTAAAACACACACTCAGAGACTTCTGGGACCCCACCTTTGTAGAACCTCAACGCCTAAGTCTGGGCTCAGGAATCTATGTTTCTAACAAGCCCCTCTGGGATGTGCACTCTGTTTTCGGGTGGCTGCTTGTCTCCGGGGTGTGAAGAGGCAAGTGCGATGCAGAGACAGGAGCACCAGAGTCTGGGTTCTGCACCCAGACAGGGGTCTGCAGTCTTGGGTTCTAGTCCCAGCTGCAGGTCTGTTGTTGGGACTCGGTGGCCCCAAATGATTTTCAGGAATACCAATGCCTACCTCCAAGATGGGCCGAGTGTGAGGGATAACTACAACAATGTTTGTAAAGCACTCAGCAAAGTACCAGGCCCCCCGGAAGCGTGTAGGCAAGGGTGCAGGGTCTGGGGTACAGCAGGTGCAGTCGGAAGGAACACTGGCCCTGCCACCAAGTGCTGCGTGAATTCCAGTCCTTGAGGGCCTCGATTTCCTCCTCTATAAAAAGATATCTGCAATGGACTGAATGTTTATGTCCCCCCAAATTCATATGTTGAAATCCTAACCCCTAAGGTGATGGTATTAGGAGGTGGGGCCTTTGGGAGGTGATTAGGTCATGAAAGGGAGCCTTCATGAATGGGATTAGTGCCCTTATAAAAGAGACCCCAGAGAGCTCCCTCACTCCTCCCACCATGTGAGGACCCAGTGAGAAGACAGTGGTCTGTGAACCAGGGAATGAGCTCTGGCCAGACACTGAATCTGCTACCACACTAAGAGAGCATCCGTAATCTCAACGTTGTGACAGGCTGGTAAGCGTGAGTGCTGTGAGAATGGGAGAGGCTAAGGTTATGTCCATCCCTCTTGGGATGAAACTGGATGATGTCAAGACTACACCCCACTCCGTCTAGGAGCACTCCCAGGCCCAGCTCCCTAGCTGACTGGGCTATCCTGGCTCAAAGGACACCACTGCCCTCTTATGGCTGAGGCCGGACTCAACAGAGGGACCCTTCTCACACTTTCTTGGCTCTAGGATCTTGCTGCAGGCAGGGAAGAGGGCAAGTGTTTGGTCTGCCCACTGACAGGATGACCTATGGAGCTCTAGAATTTATATCATCGACTGCCGCACGGGTTGGATTTCTTGACAAGCGTAGTAGTAAGCCTTGCTTAGGTGAAAGAAATTCACTCAATTTGGAGATTTATCAAACGATTGGTCTGATGGAGGCAGCAGGCCTGATTTACTGAACACAGCGTGTGGGGCTGATGCATCTTATTTCATTTAATCCTCTTTAGGGTCCTCGTGCATAAAGAATTATCATTTCCAATTCCCTGAGGTTGAAACTCAGTTTGTTGTGAATGCTACAAACCATGCAGGACAAGGGTGAGGGAGAGGTTAGTGGGAGGCGGGGAGAGGAGACGACAGAAATGCTCCTATCGGGCCGGCCCTGTGGCTTGGTGGTTAAGTGCGCGCGCTGCGATGCTGGTGGCCCGGGTTCGGATCCCGGGTGCGCATCGAGGCACCACTTCTCCGTTCATCCTGAGGCCGAGTCCCGCATACAGCAACTAGAAGGATGTGCAGCTACGACATACAACTATCCACTGGGGCTTTGGGGGGAAAAATAAAATAAATAAAATCTTTAAAAAAAAAAAAAAGAAATGCTCCTATGTTAAACAGGACACCGAGAAAAAAAACCACATATACATCTCTCTGTCCACGCTGTATCCTCAAAACCGAGCCTGGCACACAGCAAGCGCTGAATCCCCAGTATGTAAGTAATATATAAGTGAAGGAAATATTAGCCAGGATCTTTGTACTATCTGTGCACTTGTCTTCCCTACCAAATATACCTGCCTTGTAACCTTTAAAGGTTTCTTATTTTTTCAAAAGAAATGTTAGGGTAAATCACCTCACTCCAAAGAAGTCATTATGAAAGAAGGAACCAGCACCCACGGGGCGGCTGTTACGTAGTATACTGGGGCTACTAGGAACAGCAAGAAAAAGGCCTCTTCTTTCTGTCCAAATAGCGTTTTCTGTAGATCCCACCTCCTGATCGTCCTGAGCTCTCTCATACAAAAACATCAGATTTTAGCAGCTTAGAGTTGGAAGGAAACTCAGAGGTCCATTTCTCAATTATCTCTAACCCTGGTAAGCAATAAATGGAATGATGAGTACCAGAGAGTTTTGGTAAAAAGTCAAACGGTATACAACCCGAGATTTTATTCCACACGTGCAGCCTTGCCAATAGTAAAAATGGCAACTCGACTCCCTTCTTCCCTTCATGTTAACCTAATGGTTGACAATAGTCAGCATGGCCGCCAGACCGTGAGTTCCCATTGGCGGCTGCTCTGAGGCCCCGCCCTGCGCGCCCCTCCCTGAGACGGCCGGGAATTGCGGGGCCGGATCTCGCGGCTGCGGCCTGGCTGCGCTTGCGCGAGTCTTTGGCGCCAAGATGGCGATGGAGATGAGGCTGCCTGTGGCTCGCAAGCCTCTTAGCGAGCGCCTGGGCCGCGAGAGTAAGAAACACCTGGTGGTGCCGGGGGACACGATCACCACGGACACGGGCTTCATGCGGTACGTGGGAACTTGGGGACGCGGGGCCACAAGGGGCGGCTGCAGGGCTCTCTGCACGTGGCCTGCTGGCCGAAACCCGGGCCGCTGTCCCCTGGCGTCTAAGGCCCTGCGGGACCCAGGGCACATCTGAGCATCCCAGTCGCCTCGTTTCCGGGTGTCGGGCTTCTAGTCCCTGCATCTTGTGTATCCCCATCGGCCTCCTGAAACCGTCCTCTCCTGACCTCTGGTGGCCGTGACTCCTGGGTCCTCTGCCTGAGGTCCATTTCTCTGAGCCTTCCTCGTTGGAGACCTGGAAACCGCGGAGGGTTAGGGGCAGGGCCTCTTAATAGTTTTCAGCTATCTTAGGGGACGGTGGGCTTTCCTGACTCGACCTTCTGTTCTCTCGGCGTCATCTCCTAGCCGGGTGCTCGGTTTTGGAATCAGTAATTGTTTGGGTTTAGGACAAAAATATATTGTGCTCCATGCACCCAAACAGACAACTTTAAATCTGAAAGCAGTACAATATGTTGTAGTTAAGAGGGCAGCTCTGCAGTCGGACAGTTGGGGTTCCAGACCTGCTGTCACCTGTTATTAGCTGTATTACCTCTCCCAGGTCAGTTTCCTTGTCTGGAAAATAATGATAAGAACAGTAACTATTTGATAGGGTCATGAGGATTAAATGAGGTAATAATTAAGAAAAGAAGCAAAACTCACCATCATATCACCATCGTAGATAAACACAAGTGGTATTTCAGCCTTTTTTGTGGGGGGTACACATGTACATGTAGGAGGGGTACTGCATTTACAGCATTGCCCTTTAACCTTTTGGTTTGAGGTTACTAGATCCTAGGAAATCTTTTTTTTTTTTGAGGAAGATCAGCCCTGAGCTAACATCTGCCAATCCTCCTCTTTTTGCTGAGGAAGACTGGCGTGGGCTAACATCCATGTCCATCTTCCTCCACTTTATATGGGACGCCACCACAGCATGGCTTGCCAAGTGGTGCGTTGGTGCGCGCCCAGGATCCGAACCTGCAAACCCTGGGCCGCCACAGCGGAGTGCACGCACTTAACCGCTTGCGCCACCGGGCTGGCCCCCGGATCCTAGGAAATCCTAAGATTCAGTCCTTCATTCATGCATTCAACATATATTTATGTTGTGTGTGGTTAGGGTGCAACAGTGAACAAAGTGGGAGTCTCTGTCCTGGTGGAGTTTAACAGGGAGAGACAGATGATAAACAATAAGCACAAACAAATGAATTATTCAGAATGTTTGGTGCTAAATGCAGTGGAAAAAATTAAAAGTCGAGCAGGGTAAGTGGAATGTGGTTGGGAATGTGATGGGGGTGGTGGCAGCAGGGTGGGTGACTATTTTAAATGGAGTAGTCGAGGAAGGCCTAATGGCGAAAGTGACATGTGAGTAGACTTGAGTAAGATGAGGGAGATGTCCCTGTAGCTCTCTAGAGAAGGAGTGTTGTAGGCAGAGGGAGCAACCAGCACAAAAGTTAGGCTTTAAGGCAGGAGGAGCCTGTTAGGTTTGAGGAATACATTGTTCTTGACGGGAGAAGTCATCTCAAGTGTTACCCTGATATCCTTTGTATCTTCCTCTTGCAACAGCGGCCATGGGACTTACATGGGGGAAGAGAAGCTCATTGCGTCTGTGGCTGGATCTGTGGAGAGAGTGAACAAGTTGATCTGTGTGAAAGCTTTGAAAACCAGGTGAGAACAAAAGGTGTGTATTCTCTGTCTTGTGGCATCCATATCGCACAACCAGGTTTTTTCTGCCACACCACACCTCCCACCCCCACCCCCGTCTGCCTTCTCATTCTGTAGGTCTGCGATTTGGAACATGTATAGGTGACTGTAGGAAGTGCAGGCTTCAAAGGTTTCCCCACCTTATGTGACCTCCCCAACCCTTTGTTCCCTCCTCTGCGAAATGAGGATAATATCACGACCTACCTTGTAGGATTTTCATTAGAATTCATTGGAAAGGTGCATGTAAAGTACTTAGCACTGGGCCTCCTACCTAAAAGGACTCAATAAAGGTTAGCCCGAGAAAGGAAGCCAGTGGTGTCAGAACAGAGTGAGTGAGGGGGAGAGTAGGAGCAGATGCAGGCAGAGAGCTGAGGTGGGCAGTCGGCCTGCCTTGTAGCCATGATAAGCATTTTGACATCCACTTTGTATAATCTGGGAAGCCACCGGAGGGGCTGGAGCAGAAGAGGGGCATGATCTGACTTCTGTTTTAATAAAATCACTCTGGCTGCTGTGGGGGGATTGAAGAGGGACAGGCGCAGGCTCAGGGAGACAGATTAGGGGACTGTTTTCATCATCTGAAGTGATGGTGGCTTGGACTAAGGTGGTAGCAGTAGAAGTGGGGAATAGCGATTAATTCTGCATATCTTTTGTGTTCTGAGTTTTTATTATAAAAAGGTGTTTGATTTTGTATTCTTTGGGATTTTCTATATATAGGACCATGTGTATGAGTAGAAAGAGTTGTACTTCTTCCTTTCCGATTTGGATGCCTTTTATTTTCTGGTGAAAGTAGAGCCACTAGGATCTGCTGCTGGACTTGTCCTGGAGCATGAGAGAGAAAGAGAAATCAAGGGTTCCTCCAAGAACTCCAAGGTTTTTGGCTTGAGCAGCTGGAGGGATGGAGTTGCCGTTCACTGAGATGGTGATGACTGGGAGAGGATCAGTTTGCAGTGGAGGAGGGCGGGGAGCTGCTGGAAAGCTTTCTTTTAGGTTTATTTCATTTGAAAATGCGTCTTAGTCACATAAATGGAGATGTTGGGTAGCCAGTGGTTCACTACCGTCTGGAATTCAGGAGAACTGTACAGTCATGAGTGGTATTTAAAGCCATTAGGTTGGATGAGCTCACCAAGAGGTGAGTGTGGGACAAAAAGAGAAGAGTGCCAAGGACTGAGCCTTCACTGTGGACCACTTCATCATTAGCCCTGGAGTGAGGAACTAGCAGAGGGGCCTGAGACAGCAACCAGTGTGTTGGGGACAGTGAGTAGACTGGTTTGGGTCATGTCCTGTCTCAGTCTCCTTTCTCCTCCTTTGGCTGAGCAGAACCCACCTGTGTTCCAGAGCCCACCAGAAAATATTCCATGCTTTTCACTGTCATGTAATCAACAAAATAGGGGTTTCAGGCTTAATGAATCACTTGCAATCTATGGTTTGTTTAAAAATAGTTCATGGAGGGCCAGCTCCTGTGGCCTGGTGGTGAAGTTTGGTGTGCTCCACTTTGGCGGCCCGGGTTCAGTTCCCAGCTGCAGTCCTACATTACTTGTCAGTGGCCATGCTGTGGTGGTGGCTCACATACAAAATAGAGGAAGATTGGCAACAGGTGTTAGCTCAGGGCAAATCTTCCTCAGCCAAAAAAAAAAAAAAAGTTAATGGAGACTTTATACATGTAGGAATGTTTGAAGTTGCCAGTTCCTGAAAATAAGTCCAAACAGCATAGTTATGTGAATTTACTAAATGGTGAAATCTCAAATGGTACTTGGTTTTGTAATAAAGTCTTTTCACTGATGGATGACATTTTGTTTTATCTTTCAGATATAATGGTGAAGTAGGAGACATTGTAGTGGGGAGAATCACAGAGGTAAAGCTGATATCAGATTGGTATTTACAAAGTAAAGGCAGGCTGGTGATTTAATGAATGGGATAGTCTTTCTATATGGAGTTATGTGAATGAAGCATTCATTGTATTTGGCTCTTATCTAAGCTTTGACATGAACAGTTGGCTTGTTATATTTGGGATTTTGGTCACATATGACTCTTGCTCTTGCCCCTGGAGCATGTATCCAGGTGTGGAATTTCTGTTTGTAGGTTCAGCAGAAGAGGTGGAAGGTGGAGACTAACTCTAGGCTGGATTCAGTCTTGCTTCTCTCATCCATGAACCTTCCCGGAGGAGAGCTGGTAAGGGTATTTGTGGTTTGCTGGTGAGAGCTCTGGGGTCCTTTGCTCCACCAGAGAACTTTGCTTTACACTGAGGTTGCCCCATTGACTCCTATTTGTCTGCTGTGAAGTTTCCTGGACGTACATGTAGGCTTTTCACTTGGCCCAGGCCTCCCAACAGAGGCAGCAATTGGTGTATGGTAAGATCTGGAATGTCCATGGGAAGGAATCCCAAAAGAGAGTTGGTGTCAGAAGCTCCCAGACGCTTGGTGCTAATTATTTTCCTTTTCTGGGTGTATCAGCTTTGCACAGTGAAGGTGTTCCCTGAAAAGCTAGACTAGTTTTAATGAATTGAATGGCATCTGGTTGTTCCAGGCAGCTGCAGCACCCAAGCTGCCGCCTTTTGTAGAATGCCGAGGTTGACCTTTATCTTCTGTCCTGCGTATGTTTAGAGAGAGGCTCACTGTGCTAGGTTCTGTGGAGGATAAGATAAAGGAGGCCTGACTGAGTTTCTGAAAGCTTACAGACCAGCAGAGGATATGAGATAACTGATCCAAATACCTGGCAGTCGAAGAATAAACAAATGTGCGGTTGTACAAAAGGAATGATTAATTTCAGTGAGAGAAGCCATAGGAAAGATGGGCATTGGAGTTGACCCTTGAAGGATAGATAGAACTTCAACGATGAATTCAGGGAATCTGAGATAAAGGGAAATGTGTGAGCAAAGATACAGCCAAGCCGGAGGTAGTCTGGTCGCGCTGGAGCTTGGAGGGCTCACATGGAAGTTGAGAGGGTTTTGAATATCACGTAAGGAGTTTGAATATTATTCAGAAGAGGGAGGGAGAGGAAGGAGAAGAGGAGCTGTGGGGAGGTCTGTAATATGGAAAGTAGTGGTTATGGCTCTTTTTGCCCTTGAGTGGCACGGGTTACTTACTCTCGTGTTTGAGCGTTGTGGCTGGCCTCAGGAATCTCAAGAGGAAGTGAGAGAGAGAGAGAGAGGAGATGGAGGGAGATCTTGCTGTAGGATCTGACTTACGTAACGTCATCATCTCTTTGTGTATTTCAGAGGAGAAGATCTGCAGAAGATGAGCTGGCAATGAGAGGTTTCTTGCAGGAAGGAGACCTTATCAGTGTATCCTGCACCTTACATTCCCGCATCTTTATGCTTTATATGGAGCTGGGAAATGGGGCTTAAATTGTATGTCTCCAGCAGGAGAAATGTAATCATTGCAGGGAGCTGAGTCCTAGATCAGGTGTCAAGGGCCCTGCTGCAGTCTTTCTCCATCCCCTTTACCCAGACTGACTCTCCAGCTCTTGTTCATGTCTGCCGCTGCTAAGTCATTTCTTTGTGTCTTGTAACTTATGGTGGCCCGTGCTTTAAGCTAGACTCAGATTTTCTCAACGATGTTAACTTTTATCCCAGGGAGTAGAAAAGGGGTTGTTCATATCAAGATATCCCTAACCAAGGGGGAGAGGTTAGGTCACAGTGATGTCCTCCGGGTCTGTCTAAGACCGCTGAGCAGGACTGTTGGAGATGGGAGGAAAGGATAGAGAGGTAGGGCCAGGGACGCAGGGAAAGCAGGTGACATGAGAGTATTTGTTCCTTCATCACCCTGGCCAGGCTGAGGTCCAGGCAGTGTTCTCTGACGGAGCTGTCTCTCTGCACACGAGGAGTCTCAAATACGGAAAAGTAAGTTGGGCTCTTGCTGTTCTCGTTTGCCAACCAAGACTTCAAATCCATTTCTGAATCCCCAGCACTTGTTGGAATTCTAAAGAACCCCAGAAGTGAAGCGTTAACAGGCCAGCATCCCACAAACTGATTGATTCACACGGTCATGGGTCAGTAGCATTGTAGAGGATGACAGCTTGTATCCTTTTTCTACTGAGGAGCTTGTTCTGGCAGAAGAGCCCCTGTGACTGGGCCCTGAGGCCAGGGGACACTGTAGCTTTGCAGTGGGGCCAGGGCTGAGAGGCAGTCCCTGGAACAAGGAGAGGTCATGGACTGATGAAACAGGACCATCTCAGCCCTTAGACAAATGTCCAGTCAATAAAATGGGTATTGTTAGGAAAGATTGGTTTGTCACTTGAGCCTCTAAATGAAATTTTACTGCTTTTCTTGTATGAGGTGACATTATTGAGGCTATTTATTTTTTTAATGAGAGCATACTTCCCAAGACAAATTATGATTTATTAGTCTCTTGGCTTTATCTGGGTGAACACTTTCATTTTCTGAGTGGAACAAAAAACCTCTTCCCTCAGTGGAGTGGCTACAGCCAAGCATATTCATGTCTTTGAAGTAGGAGATGAAACAGCTGCGCCACGTGTGCTGACGACCTTCATGGGCTTGCATACTGCAGACCCTCCCTCAGCCAGACGTGGCCTTTGAGCTGTCCTGCCAGGACCAGGGATGGCTTTGCACCCAGCCCTTGGCCAATCCCCTTGCCCAGTGGCACACATCTCCTGGGCAGGATAGGTGGTTGGGGTCAGGGTGGAACAGAACAGTGCTCCTTGGCCCACAGGAAGCCCGAGCTTACATCCTCATTGGCTCCCGCTTCTCTAGCCGCCAGCGCGCCAGCCCTGGATTAGAATGTGATGATGATGATGACTGCAAAGGAAAATGGTAGAGGAGGGTATTGAAAGTCACCTTCTGTTGGGATATATCAATGACCTCTGCATCCAGAAGTGTTCTCTGTGAATAATTACTATGTATGTGCAAATAGATGACAGCAATTAACAGGAAGGACCCTGATTCCAATATAACTAGGACATGTATTCTGTAATCTACTTGTCGTTCACCTCGTTGACAATCCTACAGTGACTTAATCTGTGATGTGTTTCTTTAGCTAGGTCAGGGTGTTTTGGTCCAGGTTTCTCCCTCCCTGGTGAAACGGCAGAAGACTCACTTCCATGACTTGCCGTGTGGTGCCTCAGTGATTCTGGGTAACAACGGTTTTATCTGGATCTACCCTACACCCGAGCACAAAGAAGAGGATGCAGGGGGCTTCACTGCAAACCTGGAGGTGAGTGAACACCACTGCTGCTGTTGGGAGGGAGCAGAGACTGCGTGCTTCTGTGGCGTGTGGAGCTGGCTGTTTTTTAGCTATATTATTGCTGTAGTCTGAGTTAAGTTTGCATTTCCACTGAAATGTGTTCATGAACGTTGTATTGCCTGAAGAGGTGAAATCAGCACCTGATGGCAAAGTTACAGGGTAACAGCTGAAGAGCCACTGAAGAAACCATCCTTTTAATCTCCCTTGGAGTTAGCTGTTTGATTGTTTTGGAGTCCCAGAGTGATACTGTCTAAGTTATACATGGTTTTTGTGATTTGCTGTGACCATTCGTTTATTTGGTCCTGTTTATATGTTCCTCCCCTCTCCCTTTGCACCCCCTGGTAGCCTGTCTCCCTTGCTGATCGAGAGGTGATCTCCCGGCTTCGGAACTGCATCGTCTCCTTGGTAACTCAGAGGATGATGCTGTATGACACCAGTATCCTGTATTGCTATGAGGCGTCCCTTCCACATCAGGTACTCCGCCCAGCTTCTCTCTTCCTCATGTATCCGGGAGCAGGCATTACATATTTATCAGTTTGCTCCAGTTTTTTTCCCAGTAACAGCAGGCACACCTTCCAGATACCTTTACCATGTCCATCGGTAGGAACTGATCTGGTAGAAAGCCTTAATGAGTGCCTGGTGGATCTTTCCCCAAGATATTGTAATATTCTCAGTATCTAGTGTCAGGGTAGGGAATTGGGGAGATGGGGATGCCGAGTGGGACTCGTTTCTGACAGCAGCCCTCTGGACTTCACCTTGCCCATTCCAATCTCAGCTGTCTTTTTAGTGAATGCCAGAATAACAACTCTGTTCTTGTCAGATATATCCCAGAGAATCTTGCTGGTTTATTAAGCTGGTTCTAGCAGATCATAACTTGTAATACTTAGCCTTGGATAAATGAGAAGAATATAGGTTTCTGTTAACCATGCTTGGTTTCTACGTTTGACTTGGCTTGATGGTCTGCTTACGGTTGGTTTCTTTTCTGAACAAATACCTTTTTCCTTTCTTTTTCAGATCAAAGACATCTTAAAGCCAGAAATCATGGAGGAAATTGTGATGGAAACACGCCAGAGACTTTTAGAACAGGAGGGATAAGAGAAGCGTCTGAAGGACAGGACCGTGTGTACCTGACTGGAGCAGTTCTTGAAAGTGAAGAATCTGATCTGTGGTCCACATGTGGGCTCGGCAAAGAACTGGGACTGGGAGACTCATCACTTGACCTTCGTCAGGCTGCCTCCAGCCCCCACACCTGCTTTCCTCTGTTCTACGGCAAAGTCTGGGGCAGGTGACAGGGCCAGGCTCGTGGGGTTGCCTGCAGAGTCCTGGCACGAGGGGTAGTTTTGGGTCATTAAAAGCACGCAGTGTTCCAGCTGATTGGACTCCCATCCTGGAATCCTACGGAGAATCTTTTGTCTTCTCCTCACCATCAGTTCACAAGGCACAATGCCCCATGAAATCGCCCCTATAAAACGCATGCCCTCCCTGACCCCCAGACTGTTTTGGCCTCCATTCCCACCTCCTCCACAGCGCAAGTGCAACACTGAAGCATTTAGTTGTCAAGTCCACCCAGCGGTCAAATGGAGGAATAAAGGAACCAAGAGCCTTTTGCTTGGTTGGAATCTTATTGCCCACTCATGTCCTTCTAGTTATAGCTGCGGCTATGTCCACCCAGGCTGCCTTAGTCTGTCCTGCCTTGGAGGGTGATTTGTAAGAAGCTGAATTATCGATAAGAGAAGGAATGAATGTTTTGAGTGCTCTGATAAACATGAAAACAAAGTAAGAAAAATGGAGATGGGAAAAGAAAAGCTGTTTTCCTCCTCTAATTGAAATACTAATGCATTAACTTTTGGCTAATTCAGAGTTAAAAGACAAAAACAAGATGGTGAAGTTCTCACTGAGGAAGGCTAGAATTCCTAGGCATGGTTTTTCTGCTGACTAAAATGGTGCCCTGAGTTAGGTTTTGAGAAACATTCTTTTAAAGTCACTATATGAAAGTGCTCTTTTATTTCACATGTGGTGAACTATTTTTTTTTATAACTGTGGCATTAGCATTCTGTTCTTGTGTTCTGTGTACTACTTGGGAGCTCGGTACAGTTGAAGGAGGGCTTAGCAGATAGAAATTCTTTTGACAGAGGCCCTAACTACTCTGCTTGGGTCACCTAGTAAAATTTAAACCTAGGACAGTTTCAGTAGTAGTAACATTGAACACTGCATTTGGTAGTTTTGAAGTAACAGCTTGGCTCTTTTTCATTAAATGGTTTTTTGCTTTATAACATTACTCAGTAGACAACTTTTTCTGTTTTTTCTCTCCCAAGTGTATCACTCGTTTTGAGGAGTTTGCAGACAACTGATTATTCTCTAGGCTATGTTGCAGCTTTAGGTTTGCTCACTTGTATTTTGGAGGCCCCATTTCAGGCTGTATGCCTCTTGAGAGAAGGGAATGGGAGAGGGAGGGAGCCTGAGTCCCTGGTTTGGTTTGGTCTCAACCAGGGCCGTGCATAGGTTCGTTGAAATTTTGTCCTTCTCTCCTGGTCTCCCAGGCTGCCAGCCTGTGCTGTTATTCTGCGTACCCTTGCAAGTGGAAATGTATAAAGGTCTGACAGCACCTTTGCTGATTGTCTACTTTCTGTGGCCCACTAGAGGGCACCCTTGTTGAGTTTAATTCCAGTTGGCGTTAAAAAAAAAAAAGAAGGAATAAAGCTGCAATTTTTACATTGGTACTGAATCCCTGCAGCAACTTGTGGGTTGCTTTGCTTTATAGAAGGGAAGACAAAATTAGAGTGAACTTAATCACTTTTAATGAAAAGAATATATTAAACTTAAAGGGATTTATTCAGCATTTGGCAACATTTATTTACTTCTGTTAGGCGTTTGCTGGGCTCTGGATTATAGTTTTTTAAGTCCTCAAAAGTATCACTCTACAGTGTTAAAGTATAACTGTGAAAAAGTATAGTGCATCTCTAGAAGAAAATATTACAGTGTGGGCTGGGGGTTCACCTACAACCAGAAAATGGTGGCAGTGGAAAATGGAGACTCGGGGTAAGCCTCAGATCAAGCACGGTTGGCTTCCACACTGACTTGCATGAAGCACAGTCTCAGTCTTTGTGGAAAAGGAAACAAGATCTCATTTGATCCTCATGATAACCTTGTAAAGTTAGCAGATATGACTCCCACTTACAAGTGAAGAAAGTGATTCAGAGAGTTAAAGTGACTTGATGAAGCTCATTAGCAACTGAATCAGGAAAAGAAGTATCTTAAAGCAACCCTTCAGAGAATGTGTTGGACTGATTGTGAAAGGACATGGGTCCAGAAATTTTATTTCCAGCATTGAGTCTGATACTTTGGACTGTTAGTCATTTTGCTTATTGCCTGTCCCTCCCACTATGTATGCTCCAGGACAAGGATGAGCCCCTCCGCCCCATTGTATCCCAGCACCTAGAACAACGCTTGGCACACGGGCTCATTAATGCTTGCTGAATGAACTGTTAGCTCAAGAAATGTTATTAGAGAGTTCTGACTCGATTGCCCAATTTTAAGCTAAACTAGAGAGTGAAGAACGATGTGTAGGAAATGATTAAAGCATGAATAGGAATGAAAAGAAAGCAAAATCTTCAAAGAGAAAAATTGGGGTGGTAATCAGGATAAGATAATGGGTAAATAAAGGGAACAGGGGCATTGAAGTTTGTAGAGTGATCTCCAAGTCAGGACCAGGTTTGTCAGCCAGATTATTGTGTGAGAGAGCAAAGCTAAACTAATTAACATCTGAATATAAATTCCAGTTTTAAATTTGGGCACGCATTTTCATATGCTTCACATTCAGTACCTCCAAGTGACTATTTCTTCTTGAAGCCAATGTCTATATAAAATCAGCACCATCCCCAATCCAGCAGAAATATTTCTAAGATATATAACTCAAGACAATAACTGAACCTAAGACACCTAGAATGTGGCTCTGGTTTTCTCCCTATCAGTAGCAACTTCTAAAAAATCAATGTCTAATGTTAGGTCAACAGTTATTTGATACAGAATGGTACAGTGGAAAACTGGACTTTGGAGCAAGATCAACCCGGACTCCCAACTGTGTAGCTTTATCACATACTAGGCAAGTGACCTTGAGTAAGTCTAGTCCCTAAATCTGTTTGCCCATCTTTGTAATGGGGAATAATATTACATGCCCCATGGTTTAGAGTGAAGATTAAATGAGATAAAGTTTATGAAATGTGTAAAAGTGCGTGGCACAGAGTAGGCGCTGTCGTAAGTGGATTCTCTTAGAAATGGGTATATCCGGGTGAGGGGCATCGCTCTGCGGAGACATGGAGAGTGAAGAATGGGAGACCGGGGTGCCTTTTAGTTGTAGAAGATGGGTTATGACAGGTGTGGGTTTGGTGTGCGTGGGTCATTGGCTAGCTCTGTAGGCCTGCTAAACCCAGTAATCTGGACATTGTCTTGGCTAACATAGAGGATGTTTTTATGTGAATACGTGTTCACCTGTGAAATGAGGTCGTTACATTGTAAAGATTCATTCTAGCTCAAATATCTGATTGCGCCTGGCTTACCCTCCGAGAGGTGCTTAACAAAAGCTGTTGCTTTAATGAGTGAGCCTCCCGTTATCCCAAAGAAACAATGAATTCGTTAGCAATATGTCGGATGCTTTCCAGTCGTTTATTTTTCGCTAGTTCTAATATTAATGCTTCTTGGTAAAAAGGTGGAAATTGGGGAGGCGAGGGACATGAAAGCACCAAATACCTTGGTTTCCAGGAGCGAGCCAAATTTTCTCCCCTACATAGGTTTAAGGAAGTAATCCAACTCCGGTTCTGGGAAAATCCAATCCGCAGTTTTCCCCTTGCTTTGGCTCCTCGCCGGTCTTACTAGCGCTGGGGAGACATTTGCCAGCCCTACGCGAGACCGCCGAAAGTCCACCGGCTCCGAGGAGGGCGGGACCGAAGCTCGGGAGCAGGGAGCAAGGGGCAAGAAGTCTCGGGTGCGCGCGGATAGAGGTGGGCGCCGCGGGACTACAACTCCCGGCACACCCCGCGGGGTGCGCCGAAAGCGGTTGGCTGGGAGCCCTAGCCCCACTGCCCTCGCCGGCCAATGGGACGCAGGAGAGACATCACACCCGGATTCTCGAGGACCAGTGGCAGTACAGGGGAGGCGGGTGCTTCCTTACCACTCACCTTGCGCTCGGAAAAACCGCATATAAAAGGTCGTGCCGGGCCGGGCTCTGGCGGGTGGGGAGACCAGAGCCGGAAGGCGCGGCGGCGTGCCCGACAGCGGCGCCGGGAGGGCCCTGGTGCCCGAGAGGCACGCTCCAGACGTCGCCGGGGGCGGGGCCGGGGGCGGGGCCTGGCCTCGTTGTGGAGCGGCTCGTAATCCATCATGGCGGCCGCGGGGGTCGGTGTCCGTGCCTGAGCAGCGCTGGAGCCGGAGCCGGTTCCCGGGTCCTGCGGCTGAGGAGCCCCTCGGTTGTCCACGGCCCCTACCTGCGGGAGGAGGCTGGACCCCGCGGCGGAGCTCGGGCGATGTGACTGCCTGGCGGCGGCGGCCGTGGCAACGTGCGGGGCCGGGGGAGGGGGTGTCTCGGGCAGAGACCCCCGGGCTCGGGGCAGCTGAGGCGGCCGGGCCTCCTCCCCCCTCCGTCCGCCTCCCGCCCTCCGGGCCGCGAGAGTCCTTCGTCCCTTACAGCCCTGCCCCGGCTCTGGGACACTGGGGTGGTCTCTGTTTCCCCCAGACCCGGGACACCCCGTTTCCTGAGGCGTGGAGGAGCGTCGCCCCCGAGTAAGCCGCCCGTGCCCCGCCCCGGCAGCCTCCCTCTTCCCCCCGAGCCGCCCCTCGCTCCGACTCCTGGCCCCAAGTGTGGCCTCGGAGCCCCCCATTCATATCCCCTCCCTGCTGTCAAGGGGCCTCGCCTTCCCCCCAGGTTGCTCCCGCGAGCCTCTAATGCCCTGACTTCTTCCAATGTCACCTACGGCCCCCCTAGTCCCAGCTCAGCCAAAAACTTTAATGCAAACGAAAAGCTTGGACTGGTTTCACAGGCCTTTTAAAAAGCGGACTTAAAAGTTGCTGGCCATGCATTCCTTCTCGTCCGAGCCTAGGGCCAGCTCTGGCTGAAGTCTGGGTGACCCGTGTCCCTTTCCGGAGAGCAGGGTAGAGAAGCGGGAGCGGCAGCTAGTTCGGCAGGAAATTTGACGGAAGATGAAGAAACTAAGATAGGGGTGGGTGACTTCCACAGGAAGAGTTCTGGAGGAGCACCCCAAGACGATCGACATTTCCTTTACGTGTGGGAATCGAAGTGACTTGAGTATTACTGACCATTTTACAGCATCCTCTGTGAAGGTTTCCGTTTAGGTTTTTCTCCTTGAAAAGAAAAAAGCTGTTATTCAGCCAGTAAAAGACAC